AGTGTTTCCATCCCTGGTGCACAGCCCCATTTGGAGTCTCCAAACCCAGCAGATTCCTGCTGTGCTGCTCCTCCCAGAGGAGGAAGGTGAATCTCCCCAGATGTGCCACTTGTGAGGACCCTGCTCAAAGAGCAGTGGCCCGACTGTGCCTTGGATCATGGTTTAACGTAAGCCCAATCTGAAATCTCAGTCTTCAGCTCTGTCTCTGTAGTCAACTTCCCTGCCCTGATACCTGGCAGCTCTACCACACTCAGACACCCCCAATCTTTCTGTGACCCCACGGGACCTGAGACCACACTGTCCCTGTGAGGGCTCCACCCCCACTTAGCCTCTAGAGCAATGTCCCTCAGTGGAGCAGACTTCTAAATGTTCTGATTTTGTTCTCCACTGCTCCACCGCCTGCCAGGAGCTGGCCCCTTCCCCCATGGTCTATCTTCCCATCACTTCAGATTCACTTCTCTGCATGTGCTACCTTTCAGAAAGTGGTTGATTTTCTGTTCCTAGAATTGCTGCTCTTCTTTTCTTCGATCTCCTGTTGAGTTTGTAGGTGTTCAGAATGGTTACTTATCTAGGTGGTTGATTGATACCTATCTAGGTGAACTCCTTGGGTCTGATTTCATTTCAGTCTGCTACTCCTCCTCCATCTTGCCTCTCACCAAGAACACAATTTTTAATTTATTTTTCTGTAACACTGTTGGAAACAGGTTGATTTCAATTCTTGACACTATATATGATGATGTGATGGAAATATTTGTACATACATTTTTATTAGAATTTCTAATTATTTCTATAGTGTACATTCTGAGAAGTAGAATATGTAGTTCAAAGGGTATGAATATTTTTAAGACTTCTGGAAAAGTTGTGTCTCCTTATACTAACATTAGTAATAGATTACAGTCTATGTCCTAATATACCTTTGCCCCTTAATGCCCTTTCTAAAACTCAAGTGTTATTTTTAAATTCAATAATTTATGATTAAAATAATGTATTACATTTTTTTCTTTGGTTTATTTAATTACTGATAAGTATGAGTTATACCTTCATATGGTTATTATTTATCTGTAGAGAAAAAAATATATTTTTAAAATTTTCAGAAGAAGGTTAATTTTACCCAAGCGATAATACGTTTGACTAGATACTGAATGTGTGTGTGTGTGTCTGTATACATTCAATTAATTGACTCTTCTAATTTTACCAATTAGACAGAAGGATACAGAAAGTAATTTGCCCATGATCATACAAAGGTTAAGTGGCAGAACCAGCATATGAATTCAGGTGATCACTGCTGGAGTCTCACCTTTAACAACTGTGTTCTTTTGATTCTTTATACATATAAATTCATATAAATTTCTAAGTACATTCATACTTATACCTGAGTTATTTCATAATTATATTAGGCTGTATCAAAATTCATTTTCAAGATGAAAAGTTACTTCTCACAGAGATAGAAAATATATTTATATAAGAAAATGATGTGCACACATAGAATAAGGCCTTTCATGTGATACATATTATGTAGACTGAATCAAAATAATACTATTTATGTTAAAGATAATTTACATATAGTTTAGAAGCCAGTTTATTTTGCCATCTGATTCATCTTGAAATAGAGTTATTTTATTAGAGGGACATACCTAGTTATGTGCTTCTTAACTTTTGGAAAAGCAGGACTTCATCGTTCAACAAATGATCTTGACTATAATTAAAGGAAATAAAGACAGTGGTGCAAGAGGTAGGAATGATTTATGTAGAGAAATGAAAATAGTAACATCTCTTAATCATTGTCTAGAAATATATACAAAATAGCATTAACCTATTATCCTTTGAAATTTGTTGCCAATGTGTTCTTAAAGTGTATAGGTTTTCCTTTTAATTCTGATATTCAAAAGATTTAAATTATGTGTTAAAAAATCTTCTTAGTAGTTTTTCTCATTGCTTTTATCCTGAGTATCATTTCATAAACTAAGTCCACCTAGATATTTTGCTGCTTATTTTAACTTTTATAATTTTATAATTTACAGTTTCTCCTTATGCCATCAAAAATTTACTGTGATCTCTGGTGGAAACTAATAACAGAAGCTGATTATTTTCTAATACTTTGGTAATTTTTCTAACAATGGTCAATTTGTTAATAATGAGTGTTAATTTTAGAGTTTTATTGCACTGTAGTCAGAGAATAACATTCTTACAAGTTTTACCTCTGAAAATAGAGCTCATTTTTAAAATTTGTTTTAAATATTCCATGACAGGGGGGCACCTGGGTGGCTCAGTGGCTCAAGCCTCTGCTTTCGGCTCGGGTCATGATCTCAGGGTCCTGGGATCGAGCCCTATATTGGGCTCTCTGCTCAGTGGGGAGCTTGTTTCCCTCTCTCTCTCTGCCTGTCTCTCTGCCTACTTATGCTCTCTCTTTGTCAAATACATAAATGAAAAAAAAAATTCCATGACAGGTAATATATGTATTTGTTGTGTAATATACAAGATTAAATAAGCATAATTATTCAAGTTATTCAAATACTCTATATGTTTATTTTGCCTTTAGTTACCCCATAACAGTCATACTTATGAGAAAGTGCATCAAGGACTTCTAGTTGAGTGGCATTTTAAACCTAAATTTTGAAGAGGTTATTTGATGAAGACTAGTTAGAGCAGTTGAAGAAACAGAGAAAATGGTTTTAAAGTAGTGTTAAAAATTAATAAAATAAAGAATTAAGTAAATTTAACTAAATAGAAAGAGCCATGCAAGAGATTTATTGGGAGCAATTCCTGTAAAAATAAAGGGAAGAGAAGGAATAGATAGGGAGATTCCTCAGATCAGATCATTTAGGGTTGAGTCCTGAGAAATGAGAGAGAAAAAGGAAGGATTGAGTAGTAGGAGCCTCAGACTTCAATGAAGTTCTGAGAAAATCTGCAAAGGGGAGGTACAGAGTAAAAATTACTTACCTATAGGAGGAATGTCATGTTGGCAGAAATGGCACAGCTATCATGCCCCAAGCAAGTTTAGTCATTAGCTTTGAGTAACTCAGGGTGAGTTTGGGCTTGGAGATAACACTATCATGGACTCAAAGATGTGGTAGCTAGAAGCAGTCTTCTGACCTCTGCTTTTCCAGAAGATTTTCTTAAAGGGGTATCTGAGCAACATACACCCAGGGCCACCACAAATAATATAGCATGAATTATTCCCCAACCCCTTTGTTTTATTTTATCTTATTTTGTTGGTATGTATTTTTATATGGGTGCTTCAAAATATCACTGGAATGAATACATTGGAATTTACTTTTAACCAGAAGACTAAAGGTAAGATTATAAAAATAAATGTTAGGATCTATTAGAAATAGAATAGATATTGTTCTGCTTTATTGGATAGTTCATTAACTCCCCTAAACATTTAATTATACTTGTTTCTATCCATGTCTTTTGAATTTTTTTTATTTTTTTATTAACATATTATGTATTATTAGTCACAGGGGTACAGGTCTGTGAATGGCCAGGTTTACACACTTCACAGCACTCAACATAGCACATACCCTCCCCAATGTCCATAACCCAACCAGCTTCTCCCTACCCCTCTCCCCCCAGCAACCCTCAGTTTGTTTTGAGAGATTAAGTCTCTTATGGTTTTTCTCCCTCCTGACCCCATCTTGTTTCATTTTTTCCTTTCTCATGCCCCAAAACCCCCACATTGCCTCTCAACTTCCTCACATCAGGGAGATCATATGATAATTGTCTTTCTCTGATTGACTTATTTCCCTCAGCATAATACCCTCTATTTCCATCCACGTCATTGCAAATGGCAAGATTTCATTTCTTTGGATGGCTGCATAGTATCCCATTGTATGTAGGTATGTATGTGTGTATAATAAGAACATCTAGGTTCTTTCCATAGTTTAGCTATTGTGGACATTGCTGCTATAAACATTCAGGTGCACATGCCCCTTTGGATCACTACATTTTTATCTTTAGGGTAAATACCCAGTAGTGCGATTGCTGGGTTGTAGGGGAGTTCTATTTTCAACTTTTTGAGGAACCTCCATGCTGTTTTCTAGAGTGGTTCCACCAGCTTGCATTCCCACCAATACTATAGGAGGGTTCCCCTTTCTCCACGTCCTCACCAGCATCTGTCATTTCCTGACTTGTGAATTTTAGCCATTCTGACTGGTGTGAGGTGGTATCTCATTGTGGTTTTGATTTGTGTTTCCTTCATGCCGAGTGATGTGGAGCAGTTTTTCATGTGTCTGTGGGCCATCTGGATGTCGTCTTTGCAGAAATGTCTGCTCATGTCCTCTGCCCATTTCTTGATTGGATAATTTGTTCTTTGGGTGTTGAGTTTGATAAGTTCTTTATAGATTTTGGATACTAGCCCTTTATCTGATGTGTCACTTGCAAATATCTTCTCCCATTCTGTCAGTTGTCTTTTGGTTTTGTTAGCTGTTTCCTTTGCTGTGCAAAAGCTTTTGATCTTGTTGAAGTCCCAATAGTTCATTTTTTCCCTTACTTCCCTTGCCTTTGACATTGTTTCTAGGAAGAAGTTGCTATGGCTGAGGTCGAAGAGGTTGCTGCCTATGTTCTCCTCAAGGATTTTGATGGATTCCTGTCTCACATTGAGGTCTTTCATCCATGTGGAGTCTAATTTCGTGTGTGGTGTAAGGAAATGGTCCAGTTTCATTTTTCTGCATGTGGCTGACCAAATTTCCCAGCACCATTTGTTGAAGAGACTATCTTTTTTCCATTGGACATTCTTTCCTGCTTTGTCAAAGACGAGTTGACCATGGAGTTGAGGGTCTATTTCTGGGCTCTCTATTCTGTTCCACTGATCTATGTGACTGTTTTTGTGTCAGTACCATACTGTCTTGATGATGACAGCTTTGTAATAGGGCTTGAAGTCTGGAATTGTGATGTCAACAACTTCGGCTTTCTTTTGTGACATTCCTCTGGCTATTTGGGGTCTTTTTTGGTTCCGCCTTCTCTATCCCAGAAGTTGATGCCGCTCTCCAGATCGCGTGCTGCTCGCTAGGGGTGTCGCCTTAGAGATCTGGACTGGCTGGGATTGAGAAAGGTTCAACATGCCTTTGGCTAGAGATTTACTACACCCATCCTTGGAAGAGGAGAAGAAAAAACATAAAAAGAAACGGCTAGTTCAAAGCCCAAATTCCTATTTTATGGATGTAAAATGCCCTGGTTGCTACAAGATTACCATGGTTTTCAGCCATGCTCAGACGGTGGTTCTTTGTGTAGGCTGTTCAACAGTGCTGTGCCAGCCAACAGGAGGAAAGGCCAGACTCACAGAGGGGTGTTCATTTAGAAGAAAGCAACACTAATGATCCACACAACCTCTTGAATTTGTGTTCTATCGCAGAAAGCCTTATCAGTTCAGTAATTCCAGTTAATCTCTTGAATTTGTGTTCTATCGCAGAAAGCCTTATCAGTTCAGTAATTCCAGTTAATCTACCAAGATAATGTAATTATGTTTAATTTTCTAAGGTTTACAACAGTGATGTCCTATTTTGGTGTCAGTTTTTCAATAAAGTTTTGATTATGGGCAAAAAAACAATATTCTTCTAAAGCATGAATGTGTGAAGCAGGAAATTAAAGAAGAATTGAAAAAAAATTCATGGAAACAAATGAAAATGAAAATACAATGGCTCAAAATTTGTGGGCCACAATAAAGGCAGTCCTGAGAGGAAAATATATAGTGATACAATATATCACTATATATTTTTTTGGTTCCCTATAAATTTTAGGATTATTTGTTCCATTTCTTTGAAAAAAATTGATGGTATTTGATGGAGATTGCATTAAAAGTATAGATTGCTTTAGGTAGCATAGACATTTTCACAATATTTGTTCTTCCAATCCATGAGCATGGAACATTTTTCCATTTCTTATCAAGAAATGATGCTGTATTTTGTCAAATACTTTTTCAGCATCTATTGAGAGTATCATACAGTTCTTGTTCTTTCTTTAATTAATGTATTGTATTAAATTGGTTAATTCACAGATGTTGAACCAACTGCAGCCCTCCAATAAATCCCACTTGGTCATGGCAAATAATCCTTTTAATACTGTTGGATCCTATTGGCTAATATTTCGGTGAGAATTTTTGCATCTGTGTTCATCAAGGATATTGGTCTGTAATTCTCCATTTTGCTGGGGTCTTTGTCTGGTTTTGAGATCAAGGTAATAGTCGCCTCATAAAACGAGTTTGGAAGTTTTCCTTCCATTTCTATTTTTTTGGAACAGTTTCAGGAGAATAGGAATTAATTATTCTTTAAATATTTGGTAGAATTCCCCTGGGAAGCCACCTGGCTCAGGGTTCTTGTTTGTTTGGGGATTTTTGATGACTGCTTCAATCTCCTTACTGGTTATGGGTCTGTTCAGGTTTTTGATTCCTTCCTGGTTCAGTCGTGGTAGTTTATATGTCTTTAGGAATGCATCCATTTCTTCCAGATTGTAAATTTGCTGGCACATAGTTGCTCATAATATGTTCTTATAATTGTTTGTATTTCTTTGGGGTTGGTTGTGATCTCTCCTCTTTCATTCATGATTTTATTTATTTGGGTCCTTTCTCTTTTCCTTTTGATAAGTCTGGCAATGGGTTTATCAATCTTATTAATTCTTTCAAAGAACCAGCTCCTAGTTTTGTTGATATGTTCTATTGATTTTTTGGTTTCTATTTCATTGATTTCTGCTCTGATATTTATGATTTCTCTTCTCCTGCTGGGGTTTGGCTTTCTTTGATTGTCTTTCTCCAGCTCCTTTAGTTGTAGGGTTAGGTTGTGTACTTGAGACCTTGTTTCTTGAGAAAGGCTTGTATCACTATATATTTTCCTCTCAGGACTGCCTTTATTGTGGCCCACAAATTTTGAGCCATTGTATTTTCATTTTCATTTGTTTCCATGAATTTTTTTCCAATTCTTCTTTAATTTCCTGCTTTACCCATTCATGCTTTAGAAGAATATTCTTTAGCCTTCATGTTTTTGGGTTCTTTCCAAATTTCCTCTTGTGATTGAGTTCTAGTTTCAGAGCATTGTGGTCTGAAAATAGGCAGGGAATGATCCCCATCTTTTTGTGCCAGTTGACACCTGATTTGTAACCCAGGATGTAATCTATTCTGGAGAATGTTCCATGTGCACTAGAAAAGAATGTGTATTCTGTTGCTTTGGGATGGAATGTTCTGAATATATCTGTGATGTCCATCTGCTCCAGTGTGTCATTTAAGGCCTTTATTTCCTTGTTGACCTTTTGTTTGGATGATCTGTCCATTTCAGTGAGGGGGGTATTAAATTCCCCTACTATTATTGTATTATTGTCAATGTGTTTCTTTGATTTCGTTATTAATTGGTTTATATAGTTGGCTATATAGTTCAGCTTAGATATTTTAAATTGTTAGATCTTCTTGTTAGACAGACCCTTTGAGTGTGATATAGTGTCCTTCCTCATCTCTTATTATAGTCTTTGGCTTAAAATCTAATTTATCTGATATAAATTAGATTTATAAATCTGCCCCCCAGCTTTCTTTTGATGTCCATTATCATGGTAAATTGCTTCCTGCCTCCTCACTTTAAATCTGGAGGTGTCTTTGAGTCTAAAATGAGTTTCAGCATATCGATGGGTCTTACTTTTTTTATCCATTCTGATACCCTGTGTCTTTTGATTGGGGCATTTAGCCCATTTACATCAGGGTAACTATTGAGAGATATGAATTTAGTGCCATTGTATTGCCTGTAAGGTGACTGTTGCTGTATATTGTCTCTGTTCCTTTCTGGTCTACTTTTAGGCTCTCTCTTTGCTTAGAGGACCCCTTTCAATATTTCCTGTAGAGCTGGTTTGGTGTTTGCAAATTCTTTCAATTTTTGTTTGTCCTGGAAGCTTTTTATCTTTCCTTCTCTTTTCAGTGATAGCCTAGCTGGATATAGTATTCTTGGTTGCATATTTTTCTCGTTTAGTGCTCTGAATAGATCATGCCAGTTGTCTCTGGCTGGCCAGGACTTTGTGTAAGTTACTGTGAATCTAATCATTCTACCATTGTATGTTACAGTCTTCTTGTCCCAAGCTACTTTTAGGATTTTCTCTTTGTCACTAAGACTTGTAAGTTTTACTATAGATGACAGGGTGTGGATCTATTCTTATTGATTATGAGGGGGATTCTCTTCACCTCCTGGATTTTGATGCTTGTTCCCTTTGCTGTATTAGGGAAATTGTCTACAATAATTCACTCTAATATACCCTCTGCGTCCCTCTCTCTTTCTTCTTATTCTGGGATCCCAATTATTTTAATGTTGTTTCATCTTATCTCGTATCTCTCTAATTCTTCCCTTGTGGTCCAGTAGTTGTTTGTCTCTCTTTGTTCAGCTTCTTTATTCTCTGTCATTTGGTCTTCTATATCACTAATTCTCTCTTCTGCATCATTTATCCTAGCAGTAAGAGCCTGCATTTTTTATTGCACCTCATTAATAGCTTTTTTAATTTCAGCTTGGTTAGATTTTAATTCTTTTATTTCTTCAGAAAGGGCTTTTATTTCTCCAGGCAGCATTTCTCTAATATCTTCCATGCCTTTTTTATGCCCAGCTAACACCTTGAGAATCATCATTCTGAACTCTAGATCTGACATATTACCAATCTCCGTTTGGATTAGGTCTCTAGCCATCTATAGTGCCTCTTGTTCTTTTTTCTGTGGTGAGTTTTTCTGCCTTGTCATTTTATCCTGAAAAGAATATATGAATGAGAGAATAAAATACTAAAAGGGTTGCAAAGACCCCAGAAAAATGTGCATTAACCAAATCAGAAGAGACCCAAATTGTGGGGAGAAGAAAGGAGGTAAAAAGAAGTTAAAAAAAAAAAAAGAAAATAGAAAAATATAATATATATATATATATATATATGTATATATATATATATATATATATATTAGACTGGTGAATAGAACAGAACCACCCAGTTAATTTTGGGAGTATTTTGGTCTCTTAGAAGAAATTACCTCCCAAAATTTTAATGAAAGAAAAAGTTTTATACACACACACAAAGACACACACACACAAAGGTAAACATGATGAAGGCACAGAATATGACTGTAAGGATGAAAATTTTTTGAAAAATTCTAAAAAAGGAGTTGATAATATAAGTTGGTTTGGAAAAGAAAGAAAATGAAAGTGGAGAGAATTTGCTCAGGCTGGAGACTAGAACAAAGTCCTGTGCTAGATTTAAGGCATATTTTGATCTATTAGAAGACGTTGTATCCCAAAAATTTTTAGAAGAAAAAACCCTATGTGTATACAGTAAATAAAGTTAGATACAATGAAGGATAAAATTTGACTATAATAATGAAGTTTCAAAGAGTTTTTTTTATAAAAGGTATTGTTAAGATAAACTAGTTTAAAAAAACATTAAAAGAGAAATGAATAAAAGTTAAAAAAATTAGAATAAGAAAAAAATAATATTAAAAAATTTAATTAACTCTGCAAGACTGAAGAATCATGGGGAGAAAGCCATGAATTCCATATTTTGCTTTCCCCCTCCTCCGGAATTCTGCTGTTCTCCTTGATCAGTGAGCTTGGTCTTGGCTGGATGTTCTTGCTGATCTTCTGTGGGAGGGGCCTGTTGTAGTGCTTCTCAAGTGTCTTTGCCCAAGGCAGAATTGCTCTGCCCTTGCCAGGGGCCTGGCTAAATAATCTGCTCCGTTCGTTTTTTGGGAGCTTTTATTCCCTGAATGCTTTCTATAGAGCTCTGGAGGATGGGAATGAAAATGGGGGCCTCCCAACCTCCCAGTGGGAGGAGTTGAGAGATCGGGGCCTCACTCCTCAGTGCACCCTTGGAGAAAAGTGCTCAATCACTCCTGTCTCCCTGGCCTCCAGCTGTGCTCCAAGCCCACCCAGCCTGTGACCGAGTGTCTTGGTCTCCACCACACAGCCCCACCTGGAGTCTCTAAACCCAGCAGATCCCTGCCACTCCTCCAGATCTGCCACTTGTGGGGTCCCTGCTCAAAGAGCAGTGACCCAACTGTGCCACAGATGACAGTTTAAGAAACCCTGAGTTGAGCGCTCACTCCTAGGCTTCATCTCTATAGGTGGTTTCCCCGCTCTAATACCTGTGGGCTCTGTGACACTCAGACACTCCCGATCCTTCTGTGATCCTGCAGGACCTGAGACCGCACTGTCCCCGTGACAGCTTCACCCCCGCTTAGCCTCTGGAGTGATGTCCCTCAGTGGAGCAGACTCTTAAAAGTTCTGATTTTGTGCTCCATTGTTCCACCATTTGATGGGAGCCAGCCCCTCCCCCTGCATCTATCTTTCTGTCACTTCAGATTCACTTCTCCGCACGTCCTACCTTTCAGAAACTGGTTGATTTTCTGTTTCTAGGATTGCTGCTCTTCTTTTCT